GATGAAAGCTTCACAAATTAACTATCCAGCTCAAAGAACACAACCACATTAAAAGTAAATAGTATCTGCCTACTTCACAATATTATTGGACTTCCATGTATGTGGTGTCCAAGGTCAATAATCCTGTTACTGCTCCACAATATGCTTGGCTGCCTTCTCAGATTATATTATCCCACAACTTTGAGGAAATTTCAGTCTCATTAAAATTTTACGCCGGTGGCACATGGTCCGGGGTTCAATCTCCTGACGATGCACATCTGATATTAATGACCGGCCTGAAAAATTTGGGCTACGACATCACATGCTGAAAATTCCATACTAGTACCAAAAATACAGTGTGGCATTAAGCTCTAATAAAAAAAACTATTGTAAAAATATTCATCTAATGCACACAGCTGAGGCGATACGTATTCGAACTATTAAGCCCAAACTATGCGTTCAAAAGAAGTTCGTGCGGCCATTCTACCTCCCTTAACCTATTAAGACATAACCAACTGATGACTTCTCTAACACCCCTTAATTGTATTTTCATCCACTCTTTAGTCATACTTTATTCTTCATTAAAACGTGTTTTATTCACTTCACTTACAATCGAGCATTACGTAATTGGTTAGTTTGTTTTTTTAGCCTTAATCGACTGACTACTTTCACCTGAACACATTCGTTTGTTTAATCACGCTGTTTTCCGTTATTCTCGTTATCACAGATTACCTCACTTGTCCATCCTTGTTATTGATAGAACCATTGATATTATCGCCTTTATTATTATTACCATCACTATTATAATGACCAATTACACAGTTTATATGAACAATCTTACTATCCGTGACAAAACACTATCATTGGTTTATATTTGAATTTTTATTTGTAAAGTTATGTATATTAGAATTAAGCCTGATGAGCTCTAATTGAAACCACAATATTGTTTCCTTAAATGTGTTGTTCTAACTTGAATATCAATCTGATGCTCTCTACAGACTGCTCTATTCAGGAAGGTAGTTACCTGGATTCTGATGAGAGGTCGTGACCAGTTGGGTACAGCAGGTCGTATGTGAAATAAAATACTCACCACGGATGACATTGGTTAATGGTCATGCTATTCCCTGAATTGGCAGAAGTTGGAATTCCTGGACTGGCCATTGGATCGAGTCTCAGAGGCTGTAACCGAAAAAACAACTGATTCTTACTCTTCTTGTTGCCCATTTTTAAAGACAAGATATCAAGACACATATTTGTGAGAATTTTCTCCAATTTTTATGAGATGTTTACGTAATGATTAGGCGCCTAATTCGCCGGTATATGAACACCTAATGGTAACTATGTATGGAAATATACCTGTATAGAAAGTATGAACATTTTTATTGATCGAGTTATAATTCTCGATTTGAAATTATGAAAAAATTACACCGGTAGGCGGACACCGCCTATTTCTATTATTATTATTATTATTATTATTATTATTATTATTATTAGGAATGTTCAACAATTTCGATTTTTCCCTTCTTTATGTAAATTGTATACATTAGGAATAATGATATCCTGGTAAAATCGAATACAATTTGTGCTTGCGTTTAAGTATTTCACATAATTTTACAAGGAATAAAAGTAATATGAGATGGCTGGATTATTTATTTTGTTAGTGTAATCTCAGAAGTGCGTTGGTGGTTCAGTGGTAGAATGGGCACCAACCATTCACGTGATCCGGAGTCCAATCGCTGGCCGGCGCATACTTTACCTCCTTCAGCTGGCTGTAAACTCGATAAACAGAAAAGGTTGGGTACGAGGTTAATGACACCACCCGGTAAAGGAATATACTGTTATTCAAACTTTACAGTTCTAGCTTGAAGCTCTATGTTTTTTACTGGGAACTCAAAAGAATAACAAGAAATCTCAGGAGTGCAAAAGGAGAGTAATTCATCAGAATTTTCTAGAGACATCACCGGACTTGATGACACCACTAAAGAGAAGAAGGTATGGAAACAGGGCAAAGTACCTGGGGATTAGAAGAAAGGCTACCTATTCAAACTGCGAAAGAAGGGAGACTAAAGTCAATGCAAGAACTGGAACGGCATTATGCTCCTGTGTATCCTAAGCAAAATACTAGGCCGCACCATTCTAGAGAGAATCAAACACGCCACGGATGAGAAACTTATCCCTACGGAACAGGCTGGATTCAGGAGGCTTTGGAAAGGCTTTTGACAGTGCCGATCTAGAGGTGATTTGGAAACTATTTCGCTACTACGGGGTTCCGCCAACAATTATACACCTCATCTAACAGTTGTACGACAATGATGCATGCCAAGTAATTCACAGCGGGAAACTCATGGAATCCCTGGAAGTGAAGACCAGAGTAACACTAGCCACCTTCCCACTATCTCCAATGATATTCCTGATTGAGGGTGTTAGACTGGATAATGTGACAGACGTCGGCGGGCAGTGAAGATAGGCATAAAATGGACCCACACCAAGACACTTGGAGGATCTCGATTTCGCCAATGTCTGGTTTCCCACAAACACTGGAAGATATGCAAGTGAAAAGCAACAAGTTGGCAGAAGAAACATCAAAAATGGGAAGAACTTCAGGTGAACATAATCAGCATAAATGAGAGACATCTAAAAGGAGAAACCTCCTTTACATACCGACCTACCTACCTGGAGAGCATCGTTTCAACTACAGGAGGATAGAAATGATGAGGATATCAAAGCGTGTATCGGGAAAGCAAGACAAACCTCCAATACTCACAAGTCTGTGTGCAGATCAACAGTATTACTCAGCCTGAAAAATAAGATCCGGATTTTTAACTCCAATGTGAAGTCAGTCAGTTCTACTACACGGATCAGAAAATTGGCGCCGCGTCACGAAAGGCGCTCCGAACAAATTACGCACCTTCATCAACAGCTGTCTTCGCTGAACACTACTCAGGGTCAGACAGCCAGAAAAAATCAGCAAGGGGGATCTGTGGTGGCGAACCAACCCAGCAAGAACCGATTGTGTAACAAATATGCAGGAGGCAATGGAGGTGGATTGGGCATACTCTGAGGAAACAAACCACCTAGTTAGCCCACAACCTTCTGGTTACAAGTCTAGTTATCATGTAGACCATAAATCCACTGGAATCTGATTCAATGCCCAGCCCATGAATTCTAACTTCCGCCAATTCATGATATATCGTGACAACTTAGTTGCGTATAAAACTTGATATATTTCGTTCTCTTCATAAGTTTCAATAAGGAATGAAAGATCAGATTTGCGGTATAAAATAATGACATCACCGTTCCTCATCACCTGAGAACTTGTTCTCGAAATTAAAATGGTTATAAATATTGACACTACCGTACTTCAGTGTCTGGATAGTAGTCAGGAACACATTATAAAACCAACGCATTCGAAATATTAACATTACAATTTCTTAGAAGTCGATTGGTGACTAGCAGTGGAATTCAGGATGCGCATTTCGTCCTGCTGAAGACTCGTCATCTGGATGCACCTGCATTCCACAGTGAGTGATGATTTTCCCGCCAAGGCTGGAACACAGTGCCCATAGTTTCAACGAGGGTAGAGCGTTATCCACTAGACCACTTGGGCCACTACAGCCTCTACCTCTTGTGGAACTGGCCATATAAATTACTTAATTCAATTTTAAATTTACCCATTGACTGACTCAGAACTAAGACCTTGGTCACAGGTTGATATATCTACTTTTAATTATATGACCAGACATCGTTGAAGCATCTGCACAAGAAGCGGACATGTCAACCCGAGACCAAGCACTTCGGTCAAATCAATTGATGGGAATATTTAAAATTGAATTGAATAATTGCAATTTCTTGTTTAATTTACCTGTTGTCACCGGTGTTTTGATGATAAGCCTTTTATTTGTAACGAATTGAGTCAGGCATCTCTATTATTTGACCATAATTATGAGATCCACCCACACACATTAAGTTCACCGGGGAATCTGAACACAACGATGATTTTAATTTCCTGGACCTTAATGTTAGAAGAATAAACGATGGTACGGTCAAAAAATCTATCAACAGAAAAGAAACCTGAACGGGACAATATCTTCACTGCAACAGCTTCTGTCCTATTGTGGTGAGAGCAGGCTGCTAGCCGAATTGGTAGACAGTTATTTACGTCAATATTTATGTCCCCAATATTGGTCTTGAGAAAGTATGAACAAGACTGATTCAACAACCAATCACAGCAGACTTTACGTAGGCAGATCCAGTTAACGTATAGATGATCTGACATTCATGAAACAGTCACAAAGAGATGCAAGGTCAACTTTCTGTAAGAAACAACCAATCAAAAGAGTGTGTTTGTTTGCTTGAATAAGCTATAATAATGTACATGAAAATATATAAATACGTGGTGATTTCCTTAATAAATGATCTGTTGCCTGACTCTTGCCTTCTGTCGTTACACTGTAAGATATAAGGACACCGTACGACGACGCCTTACCAGCTGGAAGAAAGATTAGGCCTTTTTGAAAAATAGAGATAATGGATGTCCAAAGGAATTCATCAGAAAGTACAGCAAAGTATTAATTTGTCTGCCATTCAAAGGAGAAGTAATATCATGAAAGATTGACAACAGAATGAAAGGAGCAATAAAAAGAAGCTTCCTTGCAGCTAATCTCTCAACGCTATTCAACACCACATATTGTATAAGCCTATCCAAACTGGATAAGTACACTGAGGATATCATCTCTAACTGCGTTCATAAATCCACGTACACTTACGGGAGCAAGTACATTGAAAGGACAGAAAGAAGGGCTCGTATCCGGTTTTCAGAGCTTTTCCCAAGAAACTTACACCTAAAAACGAATCAGACATTCTCAAAATGGAATTACTAGACACCTTTGGGGAAAGAGGTCGGTTCATTGAGATTTTTAAATCTTTCAAAATATTTAGCATATAAAGGTCTTCAAATTTACTGCGATTTTTTTTTTGAAGTAATTGTAATCAAGCGTTTCAAACTAAATTTATGCATACAGAAGGAGAGTTTAATCAGTCTGTCACTTCCCCCAGTAACTACATTTTGGTTTCAATGATCACTCAACCATATTAATGATTTCCTTTTCACTGAGTAAGTTTTTCAATTTCGTGAACTATAACCTTTTTGTGTTGTTATGTAAACTTACACCCAACACTCTTTATTAGATTTCTCTGTTTTCTGTCTTCCCCTTTCCCACCCCCCACCCCCTTTTTCTATTTTCAAAGCATGTAAACTGATGGTAACCAAAACTTGTACTGCTTACATTTTTTCATGCATTGATCTTATAATGTTTCCTTTACTACTATTCAAACATTGAAGTATGTTTAAGAAAAAAAATTCAAAAGAAGACTTTTCTGAACGTTCCACTGTGTAAGTCAGGGCTTCTTCAGCAGAATTATTCTCTTGAAGACAAGTTGAGATTATATGAAATAATTTATAATGCACTTGATTCAGTTTAAGTTTGATCAACTAGAGAACAAGTGAAAATGAGAGGATACCAGATGATTCAATCTAGATATGACAGAGAAGACTTGTAGCTCAGGTGGATGATTTTGATGTGGTTGTGTTTTCTCTGAACTGGATAGTTAATTTGTGAAGCTTTCATCGCCCTACTGGGTGACATCTTCAGCGAATACTTCAATTTGTTGAAGTGAGCTTTTAGATTTCTCCACGAGTTTATTAATCATCTCTCCTGGTCGAGGATCTTGGACGTGATTGGTTGTTTCTGTGTGTTTTCACACCTTCTAGGTTACTTGTATTGGAACTGATTGTTTCTTTGACTTCAACTTTGACCCTTTGTGTGTGAGGTTTCTTTCTTATCGGTTGATAAATTTTGTCTATCTCGATGTGTCTATTAATTGATGATTCACCGGAATGCCAGCCAAGCTTCTAAAAATTCTCTAGCATTCTTGTTGTTTCTTCTGTCTAGTATTCGACTGTTGTCCCAGTCGAATTGATGTCCGTGGTTGTCTGTATGTATTGATATGAGGGAGTGAATATCATGTCTTTTGACGGCTAGCTTATGTTCGTGGATACGAAGACGAAGTCGGGGACGTCCACTTTGGCCAATGTAGTGTTTTTCGCAGTTGTTACAATTTATTTTGTAGATGATGTTGGTTTTAACTTCTTTCGCTGTTGAGACTTTTGGTTGACATAGAACTGAGTGAAGCGACTTTGTTGGTTTGTGTACGACGTCAATTCCTAAGGTTTGAAGAGTCTTGTAGTGATTTCTGAGACATCCTTTATATATAGTAAGGCGATTTTCTTTGTGCTTTCCTTGGGGCTTTTGGTTTGATAGGTTGGCTTGGGGTATATGTCTTTTGATGAAATTCCGTGGATTTCCATTCTTTTGGAAGACGTCCATGAGATACTTTTCTTCAATTTTCCTTAAGGTGGGAGTGCTGCAATGAGTCCTTGCCCTCTTGAATAGTGTTTGTGTGCAATTCCTTTTGTGTGTTATTGGATTGTCGCTGTTGTATTTCAGGATTTGGTCTGTGTGAGTTGATTTTCTATAAACTTGAGTTCCTAATTTCCCTGTGGTTGTTCGTTCGACTAAGACGTCCAAAAATGGGATTCGGTTCTCAGATTCCTCTTCTCTTGTGAATTTGATGTCGTTGAAGACGTTGTTTATTAAGTTGTGAGTTTTATCTAACTCGTTTCTTTTGATTATTACAAATGTGTCGTCGACGTAGCGTATCCAAATCTTGGGTTTGATCTTTGGTAGAATTATGTTTTCGAGCCTTGCATCACTGCTTCTGCAATCAAACGTGATTTGGCGATCCCATGGGAGTTCCTTTGACTTGTTCATATATTTGGCCGTTGAATTGGAAGTATGTTGTTAGGCATAGATTTATGCATTCCATCCAGCTTGTGTGTTGCATTTTTGATTGTTGTGGAAGGTGTTCGTCCGGACGCTGAAATTATTCCAGGAAATTCGTAAAATCTACAGTCTGCAAATCTTTGAATCAAGTCCAAGCTAACCAACACTTATAAATTTTACTGTTAAACCATCGATTTGCCAAAATCTGATTTGAATTCCTGAGTAAATCCACCAGTTTTTTTTAAATTTTAAATTGCCATTGGAATTTTTAACAACCACCTTACACTACTTATAAGTAGATGAACTTAGTTAGACATGTCCATAACGCCATGAGACGAAGTTTCATAATTCATCATCTGTTGGGAGGTTGTGCTGGAACTCAGGATGTATGCTAAATTCTCCTCAGAATCCATTTGTCGGATATATCTGCATCTCAGTGAGTGAGATATCGTTAGTTTGTAATCATGTGATTGTGTAAAATAAACTATACTACTTAATATCAATTGATAAGTTACTGTTGAACATCCTTTGAGCGAACGGCTTTGATGGTATCCTAACTGTGTCACAAAGTATTAAGCCTCCTCTGTGCGTTCCTTGATTACACATCTGCTTTCGACTCTGTACTTAGAGGCCTTTTGTTTAACAAGCTTAACCTTACACAAACTGAGTCCTGGGCTGTCAACTGACTACACTCTTACTTCTCTGATAGGATGCAGTACACGGTATATAATGGTGTATCTTCCTCTCCTTTGCTTACTGAAGCTGGAGTTCCTCAGGGTGCTGTCCTCTCTCCGTTTCTCTTTTCCTTCTTCTTACATGACTTACCTCTCTCAGACGAAATCAACTTCGTCAAATATGCAGATGACCTGACTGTTTCGCTTCCCGTTAAGTCTCAGTCAGGCTGCTTCAAATTAAATAGCTTCCTGTTGGACATCAGTCAGTGGTCTAAACTAAATGGTGTCATGCTGAATCCCTCAAAATGCCAGACTATTGACTTCGCCTTTAGGCATAAACGAGATCTACAAACACTAGTAAGCACTCATGAAGCCTGTAGCATTGAGGGGACTAAAATCGAAACTAAGTCTAATGCAAAGTACCTTGGACTAGTTCTATCTTCCAACCTTACTTGGTCATCTCATATCCAAATGATTTCTAAGAAAGTGTTCCGTCTAGCCTACTACATTAAGAAACTCAAACTATCTGGGATCACCAAACCTCTGCTTTCACAATTTTTCAACTCTAGTATCTTACCTATTCTACTTTACTGCTCCCCATTAGTCTTTCCTGGGTTACTGAAAAAGGACTACACCATCCTGAGAAGGATGTTGAAGGTAGTTAGTAGGACTAGTGGTGTAAAACTCAGTCAGCTCGTCACTACATAGTGGATAAGCATCTGAATACATGCGAAAAATGGTCTAAAACCATACTCTCCGATCCCCAACACCCCCTCTATTCCCAACTCTCTCCTTGCATCTCATCAGGTAGAACCAGAAATCAGTACAAAATAATATATGCTCGTACAACCAAGTATAGGAACTCAACGATACCATATTTGGCCCGTGTTCTAAGTGACAGAGACAATGTTAAGCGTGAAACCTATGACTTGCTTTGTTGTTAATAACATAATTTTGGCCCTTTTATTTCCCCTTAAACTCTTTATTTGTACTCTATAGTGAACAACCTTCTTAAACATACTTAGCTGCTTAAAATTATTATCATTGGCTTACATTTTTATCCTTTACTCTATTCCTTCTTTTGTGTATCTACTAGTCCCGACTATATTATCACTATGAATATTACAAAATTGTCCTGTCATTAACCATCATGTAATATTAGTTTTGTGATTGTTTTTTTTGTTCGGCAATATTAAACTGACAATCTTGGTTGTGAACGCCATTATCACCATCTTAAAATTTTGTATTATGCATGATTACTCACACTACCACTACAAACACCGCATTACAGCTGACAATAAAAATAAAAAACCCTGAAATGTTTATTTTATGATTCTTTGGTGTTGTTCGATCAAAATAACTGATCATCTTGGCTATAAACATTTCTTAAGAACATCTCATAACTTCATGTATGAAATACTCCTTTTAAATGTGCGATGAAATTAAATGCAATATTGTAAATATGTGCCGAAACTTCCATACTGTACCACTAATACTGCTCCTGGAATAAAGCAAATTATTATTATTATTATCATTAGACGCTTAACTTACTGATAAAGGCCAATGAAGTCATTATCACAAGTACTTATTGTAACTAAATATTTCATATTGACTGTAATATCAAACTGTTTACTTTCGGTTGCTGAATGAGTGATTATGCAAATCCCCATATGTTTAATCTATCTACAATAATGTTGCTTATTTTGAATATTTCAAGTGATTTTTTTTAAATTTCTCCCCTTTTCTCATGACTTTCATAGTGCATCACCCTGAGATTTACACACCTTCTGTTGACTTGAACCTTTGACTCATCTCCAGTTTTAATGATTCACTTTGGTATTGCATGATGCTAGATCGTGGATAAAGTATTATTATTATTGTTGTTCCCTTGGGTTCTGATCACATCTCCACTTTGCTTTTATTTCTTTCTGTCCTCTTTAGCTGGTTAGCTCGACAACTGTCTACAATTTCTCATTTCCTTTATGTCACCCTCTAAGTGATAACCAACCCACTTGTCACTTCCCATTCAGGTTTCATCAATCGAACGATAGCCTACATTGTGAGATATGTCATTCAATGGTCGTCTCAGAGTTTGCACAATCCATCTGCCATTTCTCTGACATACTGTTGGGAAATTGGCTCTCGCCTATTGGTTTGTTGCTAATTCTTTCTGGACTGTCGATCATTTAACCTAACCTAAAGTATGCAGCCACCGAAGTTGACAGTTGTTGACAGAAGTCTTCAGAAGTCTGTTTAAAAATGCTTTTCGTGACGCACACATAGTTCAAGTTTCTGACACACATAATATAAAAGAACTGACTGACTTGATATTTGTGTTGAAAATCCGAAACTTGATGTGTTTATGCTGGATCAGTGAGGAAGATTTCAAAACTGATATCAGGTTAATAGAGGCGTATCTTGCCCTTCCAATACTGGCTGACTGACTGGTTGGCTTACTGGCTATGACATATTCATGTGTTCCGCCAGCTGTGGTAGAAACAATTCTCCCTGACTGGATAAGCGAAAGAAGTGTAACCTCTGTCAAACTTCTCCCATTGATCGGATTGGCGCTGGTTGTTGTTGCTGCTGTTGGTTGG